TTTTATGTTGTAAATCTTATAATAAATCATAAGAAAATACAAACTTTAAGAAGCTATATTGCATAATTTTATTAACATAACTACTTTTGTATTTTAAGTAAAAATAATTTAGATTTTATTTTAAATTGGTTTATATAAAAAAACATCTTTCGAAAAAATTGTCAATTTTATCTCTTTCTATAGCTCCTAGCCTATATGATAAAATTTTGGATGTGATAAATCGTGTACCTGATTAGACAGTATCAACTGTATACGATCTTTGTCAAAACAATCTAATTCTGGTTAAATTTGCAGATCATTTTCCAGGATTTTTTAGCTAAATGATCTGCAAATTTGACCAGAATTAGATTGTTTTGATAAAGATCAACATCTGATACCCAATTAGCCTATATATAAATTTATTTACTTTTAGGGTGCATTTATATACTCTTAGAGTATATTAGTATTGATTATTATTAAATAATTAATTAAATCATTGATTGGCTATAGTCGGCTATTAGTCATTCTAGCCAATTGGCTAACTGGCTAAAAGTCGTTAACCAATTGTAGTCGACTGATAGTCAACCATAGTCAACCAAACCTATTTCTAGGAGGAACCTTTGATATCACACAACTGATTTTACACATGGTGTGAAACACATAAAAAAATTATTTTACAATACTTAATCGGACTTGATCATATTATGATTATAATCCAACATCATTTTTTTATAATAAAAAATAGTGTTAGATTATAATCATAACATGTACTAGCTAACTGATAAAGTCTGATCAAAGTATTGTAAAATAATTTTTTTATATATTTCACATCGTGCGTAAAATCAGTCATGTAACATCAATGGTTCCTCCTGTTATTTTTACCTGACAATCGGCCGTAAATGTCAAAAGAAAAAAAATATATGAAAATACTAAATTAATTTGTACAATATAAAATTTATAAATAACTATATTAAAATCTGGATTGCTAGATCATAAAAAATTAGTTCGTGGATATAAAACTGATAGTATCCCTTAATCCGTATTCAGGGGCAAATTTGCCCTGATTTTCAGATTCCTGGCAGATATCTCATGCTACCATTAAAATTTACTAAATGTACCCCCTATGTTTGTGGCACAATACACACAAACATAACCACTACACCAATATTTATATATCTTTGCCGCAAATAAAAAATAATAAGATTCAATAAACTTCTAAAATGTTCTTTAATATAAAAGATCGATGCTTTTAATTTTCACATTTTTTTTTTTAAAAAAAAAAACTGCTTATACTATGGCCGAAGTGATAGTAGTATTAATAATGACACTTCTAAAATGAGTACGATGATACCGCTGATGATTCTTCTTCTGATTTGCAATATTTTACCTTTGAGCATAATAATCATAGAGAGACAAGAATTAATTACACAATAGATTATGAAGATTTATTTATGACCGAAGAACAAGATTATATCACAGATTATGTTACAGATTCTGAAGATTTAGTTATGACAGATTATGCCATGGATTCTAAATATTAAGAAAGTATAAAATCTACTTACAAACGAAATAAAAAACGTAGGGCGGGTGAAAGGGGAAAAAAAAATTGAGTGAAAAAACAAATAAAAGAAAGAATAGGAAGTTAAATAAAATACCAACACTTCTAGAATTACCAGGATTTGATCAAATTGAAAATGAAATGAGCTTCATAGAAGTTATGCTACATTGCTATATAAAATACAGCAAGGCACAATTAGTCTACTTATATTGTTTCATCTATTTTTTACTAATTATTATTATCAATTAATTGTTAATAATACTAATAATTATGAAAAGTTAAATT